CTGATTAGGCGTCTCATGTTTATGTAACAATCAGGCCTTGCCTTTCCCCCAACAGAGACTGGAAAGCTCACGAAGAAGCTATAGTGGGGACAAACAAACTCAACTACCATACAATTGCTACTGATTTTTTTTTTCTTCCTTCCTTCTTTTCTTTTTTGTTGTTACTGTTTTGTATTTTTGAGACAAGGTTTCTCTTTATAGCACTGGCTGAACTGGAACTGGCTTTGCAGACCAGGCTGACCTCATGGTATTAAGAAGGAAAACAGTAAGTCTTTCAAAGTTTAAGTGGATAGAAAGATGGAAAGATTCTAGTAAAGAAGGATTTAGGTATGAATGGATATGTCCAGATAAAAGAAAGGTAAAAAAAATTATGCACTTTGTGAAACCAGGTAAGCTGACTGGATGTTTCCAAAATGGAAAGGAAAAGACGGGTTTTATAGGTTGTGAGGGTTAGTAGTGGCTGAAGGAATGTGAAAGAAGACACTATGAGGATGCTACACACAATGTTAAACTCAAAATCTCACAAGTCAGTGTTAAACCTCTACTCAAATTAGTAGTTGTCAGAGATCAACCTGTGCTTAGTAACCACTGTAAGAACTGACCAGCCACTAAAGTTTTACAAAAACAATTAAAATGATCAGACACAGCCTCAAAATTAAATCTCTTTTGGGTATTTGAAACTTCTTTATGTTTCTATTGATGCCGTTTCAGGCTTTATTTTTGCTACAACTCACACATGAGTGTCCTGGGCTGTTTGGAGACACTGCCTCCTTTCTCTATAACAAGGACTTCAGCATACGTGATTCACTTCTCGACTACCCTTTAACCGCCAAGGACAAATCATAATTGAAAAAATTCATTTATTACTTAAATACATAAAAAAAGAGAGGGATTAGGGGGTAACTTCCCAGGAGCAAGTTACATTTTAATTTTGCTGTCATTGTTTTGAGACAGGGTTTCTCTATACAGCCCTGGCTGTTCTGAAACTCACTTTGTAGACCAGACTGGCCTTGAACTCGGAGATCTACCTGCCTCTCCTGCTTCAGTTCTGGTCTTAAAGGTGTGTGCCATCAGACTCAGCTACACTTTAGTTAAAAATAGCCAGGTGGTGGTGGCACAATGCTTTTAATCCCAGTACTCAGGAGACAGGGGCAGCCTGGTATACATAGTGAGTTCCAGGACAGCCAGGTTTATAAAAAAAAAAAAAAAACAACCTCTGCCTCAAAACAACAAAAACAAACAAACAAAAATCCAAGAAACAAACAAAAGCCCAAAAAACAAAACAAAGAAAAAAAACAAATTTTATCCAAACTAAGGTTTTATCTAAATTCCCTCAAGGACTGCTAACATTTGGCTCTCATTTCCTTCCTTACTTGGAGCTGAGGCTCTACACTACGCTTCCTCACATAGGCTTCCTCTGGATTCCAGCAGGACTGGCAAAGTCATCCTATAAACTGGTACCAGCAGAAAACAGCCCTGTAACAAAAGAGGGGTACTGTCCGGAATTCCAACCCCATGCAAGTTGCCGGTCACTGCTAATTCTTCTCCATGTACTTTGCTTCCTCTCACTACACTACAATTTTGTCTCCTGGCCTTAATACTTGGACTGATTCCTGCCTGGACTCCTGTTATCCGGACTCATCTAGGGCACGGGCAGTCTCTGCTTTTAGATAACTTAGTTATGCTTTGGAACGTATATTCTTAAAAAAGATTAATTGGATGTTTCTGGCAGCTACAATAGCTGCCACAGTTATCACTGCTATGGCAGCAGGAGCCTTAACCCAAACCATAGCAACTGTTATTCCTATCTTCAAATAAACATAAAATAATGCTTGATAGCCGAGCGGTGGTGGCGCATGCCTTTAATCCCAGCACTTGGGAGGCAGAGGTAGACGGATCTCTGTGAGTTCGAGACCAGCCTAGTCTACAAGAACTAGTTCCAGGACAGGCTCCAAAATCACAGAGAAACCCTGTCTCGAAAAACCAATAATAATAATAATAATAATAATAATAATAATAATAATANAATAATAATGCTTGATAACTAATGGCTAAACACTGGGAGTTGGCTTTCAGGATTAAATCTTAATGTGTGGTCTTTTACAGGACTAGCATTCTGTTTGTCTGCCTCCTCCTCAAAGTTCTATTGTGCCTTTGTCAGCAGGCTGCCCCCACAAGACACCACAGCTTGGTGTGTGTGACTTCATCTTCATCAGTGACTGCCTCCACAGTCATGCTTCTTCAATAAAACTAGAAAGAGAGAAGGCCGTGAGACGAAGACTTCTTACTTCCTCAGAGACTTGAACTTTTTCTGGACTTCGCGTCCAGAGTTAATTCACCCCGAGGCTACTAAGACTTAAGACTGTGGCCCTACTGCGTGCTCAACCTGATTGGGTAACCTGCCTTTAAGAGAACAAGGTAACAACTTTACTTGCCTTACATTTCCCATGTAATCAACTTTTACAACCTACACTAATGCCCAGCTGTAACCTTTGTTTTGTTTTGTTTTGTTTTCTGAGACAGGGGTTTTCTGTCACAGTCCTGGCAGTCCTGGAACTTTGTAGACCTGGCTGGCCTTGAACTAGCAGAGATCAGCCTGCCTCTGATCTGCTGGGATTAAAGGCCACAAGCGCCACCCGCCACCCGCCCAGCTGAGACAGGGTTTGTCACAGTCCTGGCTGTCCTGAAACTGGCCTTGTAGACCAGGCTGGCCTTGAACTCACTGAGATCCTGTCTTTAAAAACAAAACCAAACCCTATGTGAAGCTTTAACTATGGAGTTCTGTCCAAAGAGCTCAAGGCAGGGATCCACTTTCATCGTGTGCACTTCTGTTGTATTATTTATCATTGTTTTTTGTTTGTTTGGTTGGTTTTTGTTGTTGTTTGTTTTTCAGAGAAGGTCTCATATAGCCAAAGATGGTCTTGAACTCCTGATCCTCTGCCTCTGCCCCCCAAGTGCTTGGATCACAGCACGGCACACCATCACACTGGTTTGAACTTTTTATTTATTGCAGTGCTTGGAGATCAAACTTGGGTCCTTGTGCCTGCAAGCAAGTTACGTACCTCTGAGCCAGACCCCCAAACTGGAGACTACTGAAGTTTAATGTTTATGTCTTTCCTGTAAAGTACCATAGGAACTTTTGAACTGCCAGTTTCAAAGCTGTGATCAATGTAAAGGGCTTTCTAACGAGTCCAGTTGTTACAGACATGGGGCCAGCAGGTCTTGTCCTTTCCCTTTCCCTGTCCCTGTCCCTTGCTAAACTGTTAGATTACATTTCTAAAGCTAGCCACAAAGTCTATTCACTCATTTGACCACTTTCTTATGCCTCACTAAAACTCAAAGATCTAGCAACTAAAATTCATTATTCAGCTACACTGGCTAACCTGTCCAATCAGGACATACCAACCCACCCTAGCACAGACTCCCCCTTTCTCCTTAAAAACCACTCCTGCAGAAACACCTGCTGTCTGTCTTTGTTCAATTCAGAGGCAGCCCCCTCGCCCCCTCTCACACACACACACTTATCCCTCCAGGGCAATAAATCTCCTTGGCGCTGAGATGTATTCTGTACTGACTCTGAGGCCCCCTTACATAATGTCCTATTTTTGTTTCTCAAGACTGAAAAAAGAACAAAAATGAATGAACACAGTGTAAATGCAGGAAAATTCTATCCAAGTTCTATGTTGGTGTGGGATTTACAGCTTGGAACAAAAAAGCAGGTGACAGGAAGTGTCCCTGCACGAGAACTCCCTAATGAACTAGTATAGGAGCTGGCTCAAGGTAACAGCTGCACTTCTAGAGAGAACATGCAAAATGCCACTCTCTGGCACCTTCTCGGCCCTCACTGTCAGGAAATGCTCATTTTGAAACAGCTGCAGCTAAGCTGAAGACTCCCCACCTCACAGTGACTGCCCCTGAAAATGGCATGTTTGTATGTGCTTATGTATGTGGTTAGAAATTTCTTTGGAGGTCAAACCATGCTTTCACAGGGAATGCATACCAGATATTCACATCATAGTTTATAACACTAGCAAAATTATAGTTATGAAGTAGCAACAAAAATAATTTTATGGTTGGGGTCATCACAACATGAGGAGCTGTATTAAAGGGTCACAGCATTAGGAAGGTTGAGAACCACTGAGCTAGAATTATATGAGAGAAGGAAATCTTTCTTTTCTTTTTGGTTTTTCGAGACAGGGTTTCTCTGTGGCTTTGGAGCCTGTCCTGGAACTAGCTCTTGAGCCCAGGCTGGCCTCGAACTCACAGAGATCCGCCTGCCTCTGCCTCCCAAGTGCCCAGCGGAAATCTTAATTTCAATTGAGAAAATGCCTCCATAAGTTCCAGCTGTAGGGCATTTGTATGTTTTGTTTTTTGAGAAAGGGTTTCTCTATGTAGCCTTGTCTGTCCCGAAGCTCACTATGTAGACCAGGCTGGTCTCAAACTCACAGAGATCCACCTGCCGCTTCTGCCTCTTGAGTGCTGGGTTTAAAGACGTGTGCCTCCACTACCCAGTGGGCATTTTCTTGGTGAGCTATAGGTAAGGGCCTAGCCCATTGTGGATGGTGCCATTCCTAGGCTGGTGGTCCTAAGTTCTATAAGAAATCAGGTTGAGCAAGCCATGAGGAGCATACCAGTAAGTAGCACCCCTCCATGGCTTCCGGATCAGCTCCTGCCTCTAGGTTCCTGCCCTGTTTGAGCTCCTATTCTGATTCCCTCCAAAGATGGACTACAATCTGGAAGTGCAAACCAAATAAACCCTTTCCTCCCCAACTTGGTGTTTCATCGAAGCAATAGATACTCTAACTAGGACAGGTATAAATGGCTTTAATTTTCAGGTTGCTTTTGGAATCAAACATGTGAAACACTTTTTAATACAATAACGATGAGGAGAAATCAGATGACCTAAATCCCATATTCCTTGGACTTGAACTCTGACTCTAGTTGTGACTTGGATTTCTTGACCCCAGAGTCTGTGGTTCCGGCAAGACTGTGTGTATTTCTTTTTTCTTTTTTTTTAATATTTATTTATTTATTTAGTATACAGCATTCCTTCCATGTATGTCTGCAGGCCAGAAGAGGGCACCAGACCCCATTACAGATGGTTGTGAGCCACCATATGGTTGCTGGGAATTGAACTCAGGACCTTTGGAAGAACAGTCAGTGCTCTTAACCCCCATCTCTCCAGCCCGTGTATTTCTTTTTTTTTTTTTCTTTTTTTCTTTTTTTTGGTTTTTCGAGACAGGGTTTCTCTGTGGTTTTGGAGCCTGTCCTGGAACTAGCTCTTGTAGACCAGGCTGGTCTCGAACTCACAGAGATCCACCTGCCTCTGCCTCCCAAGTGCTGGGATTAAAGGCATGCACCACCACCGCCCGGCTCCGTGTATTTCTTTTTAAAAGTCTGCAAAAACCAGTAAAAGGTGCCGGTTCAGAGAGGCAAGTTGCCCTGCCCACTAAGCAGGTTCTACTGTATCTCCAGGGGAGCAGAGCAAATAAGAGGTCCATGCTTGGATAACATGGTAATCAGCAAAACCAAGCCATCGAGGTCCATTTCTCATGGTCAGAGAGAGCCATGTGCAGCAGAACCATTTAGCAACCTTATTCTGACTACTGTGCCATGTGCCCACACAGGGCAGGGCTGCCACTGTAGACTTGAGATTCTCACACATCAGGACTGCCACCTCTGGTGTGGTTGTTCTCAGGGGTGGTGGCATGGACAAGATGGACCAACCAGGCTTCTCACAGGTACCTGCCACAGTACTTGGCTTCCTGCCATTGTGGACACAGGTGTCTTTTAGAGTGTCACAATGGTGAGACGCCTGGGTACAGGTGGATAATGGCAATCAGACCTGGAAGTGCCTTCCTCTGTGTTCCAGGTCAGGTGGAAGCTAGTCCAAGTCCAGGGCAAGGGCAGGGTTGCAGTTGCTTGTCACTCATCACTTGTCCTTCTCCGGTGGTAGAGGGAGGTTCCAGTCTGCAGGGGGCTTCTGCCTCAAGGCCCATACCAGGGTGTGCTTCTGAGCAGCCTGGACCCGTGCCTGCTCACTCTCACAGAGGGATCGCTGTACAAATGAGATTCTGGTCACTTCCTGCTTCACCACTGGATCCCAACACCCCAGTACCATCACATGGCACCTACACCACTCTTCCTCAGCACTTTGCTAAAGAGAGGAACAGATGGGAGCCCACACAGCTCCGCAGCTCAGCTGACTCCACAAACCAGACCTTGACAACTGTTCCATTTTAGCACACACACTTCTAGGCCATTCTTTCTCTGCAGCACAGGTCATCTTAATGTATCATCTTATTCAGCAGTTTTATTGTGTCCTTTGCATTTTTAGACAGGGTCTTAAGTAGCTCAGGCTGGCCTCATGATCACTCTGTATGACCTTCCACTTCTGATATTGCTGCCTCCACCTCCTAAGCAAATAAGCGTGCACAACCATGTCCAGACTCTGACTTCAGCCATTTAATAACAAACATTTCCTAGGCCTCAGCTACAGCTGACCTGGAGAGCCTGGAGTAAGTCTGTAGAGTGGGGACACTGAGTGAGGAAGAGACAGCAGTCTGAAGTTACTCCTGGACTCTGGACAGGGTGTGAGCAAAAGGTCCTGTTATTATTACAGGGTTGACCCTGGTGAGGTCTTAGGTGCTATGCAGGCTTCTTAAGTTGGGCATGGTAGTGACTATTTGTATTCAAAGAAGTTAGCAGGCATAGTCAAAAGGATTTGAAGTTTCAAACCATCTTGAGCTATACAGCCAGATCCTGTCTCTAAAAAGATCGTTATTGTTTAAGAAGCAAACAGAAGCTGAGTGTGTTGGTGCATGCCTGTAATTCCAGCACTCAGCAGATGGAGACAGGGAAGTCCAGGCTCAGTGAGAGATCCTGCTTCAATTTATAAGGTGGAGAGTGACTAGGGGAAATGCCTGATGCCCAGAGTGCCTCTGCATGCCATGTGTGCACATGTGCACACGCAAACGCATACACGTGACATACACACACATATACAGACTTTTATTTTTTTTTATAGGGGCTGGTAAGATGACTCAGCAGTTAAGAACACCAGGTGCTTTTCCAGAGGACTGGGGTTTGATAACTCACAACCATCTGAAGCTCAGTTCCAGGGATCCTCAGGCAGTGTATGTACTTAGTACTGACATATGCAGGCAAAACACACATAAAATAAGAATAAAAGCACTTTAAGATGGTAAAGAAATAAGTGCTCTGTGTGCTGAGGTACTGAGTTTCATGGTGAGTTGCTTCTCCATGACCTTTGCCCATTTCTCTACTCAGAAACATCTTTGCTTTTTGCCCCGATTTATGAAAGCTCATCTATAGTTGCAGACAGTAAGTCTCCAGTTTCTTGCCATACAAACACGCTTTCTGCCATGATTTTTACTTTCACTAGGGGGTTTCTGTTTTCTGTATTAAAAAAAAAAATGTTTCAGGGGCTGGAGAGATGGCTCAGAGGTTAAGAGCACTAGGTGCTCTTCCAAAGGTCCTGAGTTCAATTCCCAGCATCCACATGGTGGCTCACAAGCACCCTAATGAGATCTGGTGTGTCGCGTCCACCCTCGACCAGCAAGGAAAAATGCAACACCTGGAGCTCTTCTTGCAGCAGTTTTCAGGACTTTATTCACAGCAATCTATCTCCTTCTCCTTCTCTTTCTCTCTCTCTCTCCTCTCTTTCCTTTCTCTCTCTCTCTCTTCCCCTCTCCTCCCCTCTCTCCCCCTCTCTCTCCGGGCAAACCTCTCCCAGCCCTTAAGTAGGCATGGGCTGCCAATCCCGAACTGCCAGGTGGGCACTGCCCATAGGTTCACGCATATGCGGGCAGCTGATAATCATTGCGTGATCATAGCATAGGTCAGACTTTATCCATAGGAGTTGATTATACATCTCCATCAGGTGTGATTCCATGCAGCTTGCTACACTGGTGCCCTCTTCTGACCTGTAGAGACACATACAGGCAGAGCTCTCTATCTATATAATAAATAAATAAATAAATAAATAAATAAATAAATAAATCCCTTTAAAAAATGTTTTAGCCGCTTGTTTTCGTCATTGGTTTGTCTGTTTCAAAATGTTTATGAATGTCTTCAACACTGGACCTCTTGTTTCTGGATATCCCTATCCCTGTGTACTGAAGTTTCTGTTCCCCATCACAGTGACCACGAAAGCAATACCACACTGCAGACTGGAGTGTGCCCCAGGAAGGCAGGGTTCACTTTTCCACCCTGAATCAGAGATCACTCAAGGAGACAACTACTTGTTTAATGAATGGCTCCCTAAACTGAAGTAATAAGAGCTGCGGGGCTGCGTCCCCGGCACCCGGCCGCCCGCATGGCTAGCTTATGCCTCGAAATAATTACATGGAAACTGTATTCTTTTAAACACTGCCTGGCCCATTAATTCCAGCCTCTTATTGGCTAGCTCTTACATATTGATCTAACCCATTTTTAATAATCTGTGTTGCCCACAAGGTGGCTTACCAGGGAAGATCTTAACCTGCGGCTGTGTCGGGTGGGAGAATCATGGCGACTGCCTAACTCAGCTTCTTTCTCCCAGCATTCTGTTCTGTCTACTCCACCTACCTAATTTTCTGTCCTATCAGGGCCAAGCAGTTTTCTTTATTAGTTAACCAATGAAAGCAACAGATAAGATACAAGACCCACCTCCATCAATGGATTTAATTAATGTATCTTAGCTCTTTCTAGGCTTTCAATCACCCCCATTTGGAGTTAGAAGAGAGGCTCACTGACGCAGGAAGCACATGAAATTTCGGAGCAAGAAGCTCAGAGTTAAAATTCACCAGCTCCCCACCCAAAACTATAAAAGCAGTAACAATGACTGGGAGAGGGGACACTAGAGCTACTCGGAAGGGAAGCTGTCGGCATGCTGGGCCTTCAGGCAATGCTGCCACCTTTGTGTCGTGACCCAAAAGAGTCAGTGGTTCACTTAGCTAGATTAAGTGGAAGCATTTCTTTGGTCCATCATTCCGCATGCTATTCGGAATAAGTAGAGGCAGCACTCGGGAGGCAGAGGCAGGCGGATCTCTGTGAGTTCGAGACCAGCCTGGTCTACAAGAACTACAAGAGCTAGTTCCAGGACAGGCTCCAAAACCACAGAGAAACCCTGTCTCGAAAAACCAAAAATAAATAAATAAATAAATAAATAAGTAAGTAAGTAAGTAAGTAAGTAAGTAGAGGTTTCTTCACAGTAAGTAAGTAAGTAAGTAAGTAAGTAAGTAAGTAAGTAAGTAAGTAAGTAAGTAGAGGTTTCTTCACACCTCCCCAGCGAAGGTCCAGCCTCAGTACTGGTCCATTTCCTCTACAGTACTCTCCACGCTCTCAGAGCCAGGCTGGCCTCCAAAAGTAACTCCAGTCACACGTGCTTGAACATTTTTGGGTACTCTCAGGTTCACTCTTATGCCCTTACAGCCACCCTTATGCTCCAGGCATCTTGGCTCTTTTTCTCTGTCCTGTCCCCAAGGGCCGGCGGATAACCCTAACGCTGGGCAGTTGTCCTTCCTCTCCCCAAGCCTCTCTACATCTCTCTTCTTTCTGCCTCCCTCCTTGTACTTGACGCGGTCTAAAGTCCCTTCGATGCCGCAGTTTGGGGCTCTTCTCAGGAGCGAAGCACAAGGGGGAAGTCCCCGAAAGATCTGTGCACACACCCACACCCTGCGCGCACCTGGGCCTGGGGGCTGTGACTCTCCTCCCACTCGCGGCAGCTGGCCAGGTCGCGCAGCCACTGCCTGCAGTCGGGCCGCTCGCCGTGGACGTAGTAGTGATGTAGGACGTGGCCGGCGCTGCGGCAGAGCTCCCACTCGGCGCGGTAGACCTCGCAGGGCCGGGGAGGCTGCGGGAAGGGACAGCGTGAACGCGGGCACAACCGGTAGCCTAACACCACCCAGCCCAGCAGCCCAGCACACAGACCTGCCAGCCGCCGGCGACCGCCATGTCCAGGCCCCGTGTGACTGACAGAGACGTGAACCAATGAGCTCCAAGTAAATTCGTAGCGAACAGGACGTCTTCACTGAGTGGCCGATTGTCAGAGGCCTCTCCACCTGGTGTCGAGCCGGTGCCACGGCTTCAAAGCCACGTAACTGACAGTCTGAAACCCTGCAGTTCCGGCCAACTCGCCCGGTTTTTATGTTTCAAATCTCGAAGTAGTTTATCTTTGCAAGTGCAGAGTCTTGAACTCCGAGTAACCCACCTGGCGATCTGAGACTACGGGGATTTGGCCTGAGCATACAGGAAGCGTATAGATGAGCTTGATTCCGTGTATGGAAAGGAGGAGGGAGCAGGCGCGGAGTGGCTAAGGGTGAAAGACGCTCTAGAGGCCACAGGCTCAGAGGTGCACACCTTTAATCCCAGCACTCTGGAGAAAACGGGCACCTCTGTGAGTTCTAGGTCAGTCAGGGTTATACCGTGAGACCCTGTCTCAAAACAAGAGCCAATTTACGGGGCTTGATAGATGGCTCACAGTTAACACTGGCTGCCCTTGATTGATTCCCAGCACAGGCAGCTCACAAGCATCTAAAACTCCAGTTCCAGGGGACCCAATGCCCTCTTCTTCTTCTTTTTTTTTAAAGATTTATTTATTTTGTATACAACATTCCTCCCTTGTGTGCTTGCGGGCCAGAAGAGAGCACCAGATCTCATTATAGATGGCTGTGAGCCACCATGTGGGTGCTGGGAATTGAACTCAGGACCTCTAGGAGAGCAGCCAGTGCTCTTAACAGCTGAGCCATCTCTCCAGCCCCCCCCCCCCATGCCCTCTTTTTGTACAAACAAGGGTGCAGACAAAACACCTCTGGGAGAGAAGGGAGGGGAGGGGAGGGGAAGAAAAGAGAGGAGGGGACAGGAGGGGAAGGGAGGGGAGGGGAAAAGAATGCTAACTGGAGGTCAACATCAGACAGGAGATGGCTCACTTGTGAATGGAACCAAGGACCTAAGTTTGACCCCTGAGAACTATACTCCAACCTCCACATATACACACCTGTACATGCAGTCACATACATTTTTGTTGTTGTTGTTTTTTTTGTTTTTCAAGACAGGGTTTCTCTGTGGCTTTGGAGCCTGTCCTGGCACTTGCTCTGTAGACCAGGCTGGCCTCGAACTCACAGAGATCCGCATGCCCCTGCCTCCCAAGTGCTGGGATTAAAGGCGTGCGCCACCACCGCCCTATATATTCATTTTAAGTGTAAAAAATAAATATGTGCACCACGTGTACACAGATCTCTGGAATTGGAATTACAGATGGCTGTGAACCATGTGGGTGCTGGAAACCAAACCTGGATCCTCTGCAAGAACAAGTGTTTTTTTTAACTACTGCACCATCTTTCCAGCCTGACAAATTTTATGTAAGCCAACAGAATTCCACAAATGAAGGCTGCCTTACTGCTAGTGAAACTGAGATGTCCCCGTGACAGGTCTGGCAGGTTACCACACAGCATTTCTGCCTTCCCAAGCCACATTGGCCAGTGACAAGTATGTGCCACAGAGATAGGAGCCAATTGTGTTTATGGCTATTTCTCACTAAGAGTGAATGGATACACTCTAGCCATCAACTCACAGAAAAGTGCATCCTCCGTGGGAACTTTGTTAGTCCTGACCATCCCCACTGCAAGCCTCAGGGACTGTCATTCATCCCTACCATCTCCACAAACCTCTGAGGTGTTCACAGAGTGAACCACAGAAGTGACCACAGAAGTGAATTCACTCCACCTTGATCAAAGATCAGAGTTCAAGCCTATTCTTGCTCCTTCAAGGTTATGACAAATTTGACTTGGTGTGGCTGCCTACAGGACGTGGTCAGGGCACATCCTGTCTAAACAACAGAATATTTAACTCAGAATACAGATACTTCATGTTTCCAGTATTGAAGAGGTAATTACTTTGTTTGTTCCTTGTTTATATCATGGTAAAGAAGTCTTGCCTTCTTCCCCTCTTTTGGATTGGGGTATATAGTGTATGAAAAAGAAACATGGGCAAATTCAGTATTCACTGGCTTGCCCTCCTGACTCTGTCTATTTCTTTTATATTTGTTGTTTTCTGCCTAATATTTCTAAACCACACGTCCCTACCCTGCATACAAACCCATTGAGGCTGGACCCTGACACTTCTAATGACAGGATGAAGTGCGGTGCTGTTGTAAGTGGGCATTCTTGTGACTTCTGACTAGTGGCCCAAACTACCAATCCATGACATACCTTATCAAACAGCTGGAGGCAAGTTTTAATCAGTTTATTTAATTTTTGAATAAGAATTATTCTCAAGGAAAAAAATTTAAATAATTGGATCAGCGTGTCAAAAGATCTTACATCATACAAAGTGCAGATCTGAGACAATAAAACCATAAGAAGAGTGTGTGGCATGCTTAATATTCATGAGGTTTTCGTTCAATCCTAGTACCTGAAAAACAGATAAACTATCAGAACTTTGGGTAATACATAAAATTGCAATGGGGGCATAACTTCAGCATTTACTCATACTCATTCTAACTTTCACATTTGGCTTCACCATGGAATTCCCGACAGCCAGTAGATCGGGAATTACCCAAAATGAGAGTAAATTTGTCTGGATGAGATCCCTTCTGAAGAGTCACTGTAAATAAGGGCAGGGGCCATCTTTGTCAGGTACTCAGCTCCTGGTTTGAGAAGCCATACTCTGTTGAAGACACTGCCCTATACAGACCTGGGAAGGAAGAACAAGGAGGAAGGGGAACTGCTCTGCATGGCCTGGAGAGCCCTGGAACAGAATGCATGGAGACGGAGAAGGTCCTTGGGGACCTGAGAGCGATTTCTCTTCCCCAGGTTAAGCACATACCCTCCAGTTCTGCTGTTTTGTACCCAGAACAAGCTTAATGGTTCTTAGGTAACTCTAAACAAACCATAAATAAGAGCGCATTCTCTGAACTTGTCAGAGCAAGTAACTATCAGCCAGTGTGTTGCAAACGATCTTTTATTTTCCAGCTGACAGTTTTGGACTTAGGGCTTTCTTCCCTTCTTCCGCAGTGACTGTCCTTCTCCAGAGAAAGCAACAAATCTGCCCCCAGCTTCATCCTAGGTGTAAAAACAGGATAGCACTTTCAGAAATTCCTCAAAGTTTACAGCAATTGCTTTATTCTATGAACTCATGTGTCCTCTATCTACTTTCCCTGCTTCATTATTCATAATTAGAAATGCTTCTTGAGGGGCTGGAGCGATGGCTCAGTGGTTAAAAGTGTGTATTGCTCTTTCAGAGGATTCAGTTTCAATACCCAGCATCCATTCTGGGTTGCCTGTAACTCCAACTCCAAGGGACTTGATTCTTTCTTCTAGCATCCTAGGGCACATGCACAGAGAGCATATATACACAGCATATATTCACATAATCAATCATCTGTCTTTCTATCTCTCTCTGTCTCTGTCTGTCTGTCTGTCTGTCTGTCTGTCTCTCTCTCTCTCTCTCTCTCTCTCTCTCTCTCTCTCTCTCACACACACACACACACACACATGGTCTCTGGATTTTATGGCAGTGAGAAACCCACACATCACAGCTGTGAGTCTCTACCACCTTGTTTTTAGATTCACTGCACAACCACTCCTCAACTTATGGAGGGGCTATGTCTTGGTAAGCGATTTTCAGGTGAAGTTACCATTAAGGTGAAAAGGCATTTCCTACATCTCCCTTCCGAACAACTCAACACTCAACAGCTCAACAACTCCACACCAGTGTTCTGGTGGCTTCCCTTGGGACATGGAGAGGGAAGGGAACCTATGGCTCCTTGCTGTTATTCAGCACTCAGAAGGATCACACCACTTATTAGCCCAGGAAATTATCAAAATCTAAAACTCTAAATACAGTTTCCATTCAACATTTATCACTTTCACAGTAATAGAAATTCTGAAAAATTCTAAACTGAACCATGATAGTTTGGGAGCTTTTACACAATAATTATTTTGTATTTATAAAAAAAATTTTTTTCCCTGGTCTTTTAAGACAGGGTTTCTCTGTTTAGCAGTCCTGACTGTCTTGGAACCCACTCTGTAGACCAGGCTGGCCTTGAACTCACAGAGATCCACTTGCCTCTGCCTCCCTAGCGCTGGGATTAAAATCATGTGCCACCACCACCCAGATTCCCCTTAGGACTAGAGTTACAGATGGTTTTGAGCTACCATGTGGGTGTTGGGAACTGAATCCTGGTCCTCTGTGTCACTGCCCTTTCTCCAACCTTAAACAATCATTTTCAGTGTAAAAAGTGTACACTCCACAAGAGGAAAATCACCATCCACTTATTTCACCAACCCAAATGTTATTGCCAGTCACACTTTTCTGCACGTTTCCTTAATCCCCAAAACTCAGACCCTCGAGTTTCTAATCTAAATTGCTTACTTCCAGGGTGGCAATTTGCTAAACTACTGAGACAAGCAGCTTACATTCTGCACACAGCTCTGTTCTCTTTTGTTTTCTAGCAGGGAATTCTGGATTAAAAGGTGCACAAATTTCAAAAAGCTTTTTATATACGACCAAGCAACCATAAAAAACCACTACCAATCAATTCTTTTACAAGCAGCAAGATTTGTCTTCAACACTGGAAAAACAACAGGGTGCCCCTCCCCCCAACAGGCTTTTACTGCTGGAGAGTTGAGGAATATCTCTTGGTTTCCTATGGTAGAGGAATCTGCAATTTTCAAAACATATCTTCACACCTGCTGTGTGTGACGCACTGAATCTCTAAGTTAATTTGATGTTTATATGATGACAACCATGTAAGTTTTAGATTTGAGGAGATTTAAGGAAGCAATGGTTGCATTTGGTATGCATTCACTTTTTGTGAGGCAGATGTTAAATTCATGGCCATCTGGTTATTCCACAAACTGGAGAGACTTGGTTACAGCAGTATTGAAGCCTGGTCCTCAATTACAGTAGAGGACCTGGTGGAAAGATGAGGCTAGGACCACTGGACAACGAAGTAGGGTTACAGGTATTAAGATTTCCCAAAATCAAATTCTTGGAGAGGACAATTATGCTGATGTACAAAGACAATCTACATATGATCACACCCTAGCTCTATGCCATGCAGCAGCTTTGAATGCTTGGGACAGAATTGAAGAAGTCAGAAAGAGAACTGAGTCATTTACTAAAGTTGTACAGGGCCCGAAAGAAACCTTCACTAATTTTTTCAAAGATTGACTTCAGCAATAAATAGAATGATACCAAATTCAGAAGCTAGACAAGTAAGAACTGAATCTCTACTTTTGAAAATGCAAAAGGATAATTAGGCCTTTAAAGGCAAGATTAGTGCCCTAGAGGAATGGATCCAAGATATAATCAACATTGAATCTCATAACCATCATGATGCTTGGATAGGAGAGGTGATTTCCAGAGGCTTGAAGAAAAATCAAAATACCAGACGTTTTAATTATGGTTAACAAGGTCACTTAAAAACAAACTGTAGGCAGGGCATTCCTGGAAACAAAGTTTTTTCCAAGAATAATCTAAGCAGAATGCCCTTTCCATATGGAATATGCAAAAGGCGTGGCAAAGGCTGACATTGGACTAAAGAATGTAGATCAACAGGCGACAGACAAGGTAACCCTTTGCCACTGGGAAACACCTCGGGTAGCTGTAGTCCAGATACAACTGCTGTGTAGAATGCAATCTTCAGCAGAACGAGCCACTTATAACTGATGCCCAACGCCTTAGAGTAAGTTTCTGTATAGTAATGCCTCCTGCTTCTAAGGCAGCCTCTCCCCATACCACAACCCGTGACAGGAACATGCTGGTTATAGAGGCCTGCTGTCCTGATATCTCTGTGAAGGTCATTTTCTCAATGGAATGACACTGACACCATGTGTGGTGGTCAGGGGATCTGGCTCTGCACACATACATCTGTACAAACACAATCACAGCATGAGGCTCACAAGTATATCCCAGCAACGAGATATTATTTATGATGTACACAGAAGGTACCTAGCACCTGACCAGGGCTCTGTGAGCTAGTATCAGGCTAGTCACCATTGTTAGGTAGTGCTAGGCCTGTAGCAGAGGCCTGAACATCTACGACGGTATTCATGCTAACTTTCGATGTCTTGATGAATTTGATCAATTTGATTTCATGCTAGTACATGCACCCACACCCAGGTATCATGTCCAGCCACAAAATCAGCTGGGCCTGTTCACTGTGCTCATTTCTGCGGGACTCTTAGCCCTGTTATCCCTACCTTATAGCCATTCGACTTACTCAAGAGTCACTATACAGAAGTGGCAAGCTCTAGTTCTAGGTTGGAAAGAACCAGAGTTCAGCATGTGTAGGGCCCTGGGTTCAACTTACCATCCTGAAACAAACAGTAAGCAAATAGAAGATGAGACGCACCTGGAGCCCTAGATCTTTCGTGGCCAAACCTAGAGTCAGCTCTTGACCTCTGGGTTGCCGGGCCTTAGCCAGTAGACCCGCAATGGATCTACAGAGCTATCAGGCCATTAGAACAGGAGGACAACAAGAAGGTGATTAAATATGACAGACGCACCCTACTTTGAATGACAAAAACACTAGTCATTACAAGTAAGTAAAACTGATGACCAATGAAATAAACTTACCTCTTCAACCTTTTTGACCAATGGACGTGAATTTCTGATGAAAGTAATCTTACCAAGCTTAAATTCGTAATTAGGAATCCCTCTGTGAAGATAATGAACAAGGAGAAAGGTTAGTTCCAAGAAGGACTAAGATCTGCTTCCGACAATCAAGAGGAAGGTAGGGAGAGATGGCAAGTGCCTTCTTTGTAGCTCTTTGATATACACTGCGCTACCCTCTCTGCACCTTCTAGGAAGGAATCACAAAGTAAAAAACACTGGGTGTGAAATAGGGGACTGTGGGCTCTGGGCCCAGACTCAGACTTCCTCTGATGGTTCTTCACAGGAACCCATCCCCAGTGTTCTCTTTCTGGTCACACAAATAGTAGATAGCTAACACATCCCTATCCCTGACCTGGTAGCTACTAGAAGAGGATTTACCTTGAATCCCTAGACCAACACCATCGCACTCTACCACTGTAAGAGGGCAAGCAAGATTTTAAGCCTACCCAGTAGCTTGCTGGTCTGTTTCTAGCACTGGAACGAGGCTCTTCTATGTTGGGAGCTTTGGCACAAAGGTCTGTGTCAGACCTTTCTTGCAAAAGGGCAAACATTCAGCAGGGACACACTAGGTCAGACCTACCTTTTAATATCTCCAGGCTTGATGGGGGAGGGACTGGGCTCAACCCCTTTCTTCTTTCCATCCAGTCTATTCCCAGAACCAGAGAAGGCCTAGACAAAGAAGTCCAGAGGATATATGCTAAAGTTCAATAGTGAACAATATGTGTCTTCTACTCAGAGACCCCAGAATAGGTGTGAGCTGTTGGCATTGTCCAGATCCCCTTAAGTGCTGCCAGCCAAGACATCTCTATCAACTCCTCCGAGAAATGGAGGAAACCCATCTAAAACAAGCAGCAGCAGTGATGGCAGACCCCGTGGCAAACTCCTGCCAGGCCCCTTTCCCCACATCTAGTCATACCTCCCCACTCTACCCAGCACCTCGGCGCCTGCACATGCGCCACTTCTACCTGTTTACCAGGGAACCTGGCTGGCAAACATGTAGCTACTTTTCAAATGGTACAGTTAATTAAAAGCAGGACGTGCTAACAATTGGTGAGCCTAAAGGAAGGACTGCATTTATCTATTACACTAACTGAACTTTTGGTAGACACTCTGCCCCCACACTTATCTAGGGACCATACCCAAGTCCTATATTAGGTGTAAGTTTTGAAAGAAACAAGAGAAGTTGGAAGCCTTATTGAGTTGTCAAGGTTCCAGGAGAAAGCACATATTGAAAGGCTTGGTAACTGAACAAGTTCCCAATTTGTTTGCTCGTATGGGTACCAGGAGCTCACGTCCTGCTAATGTTCACAAAGCATCAATGAGAACAGTTCCTGGTATCAGGATGCAGAGACACATTGCCTGGTACTCACACGAAAGCCCACCTCTCCACCGTAGCCACTGTGGTCAGCTTCTCCCTCCTGATGGGAAGACAAAAAAACAGGAATTGAGTTTCTCAGAGTGGATGGTCAATTTTCCCCAGAGCCTCCTGTTTCCACTGCTACCCCAGTCTTCATCAACTGAACACACCACACTCTTAGGAGGCAGGCACCGTAACCCAGGCAGTCCCTCACTAACAAAGACAGGAAGGGCCAGGCAAGTTGGCTCACCAGGTAAAAACACTTGTCACCAAGCCTGAAGACCCAAGTTCAATCCTTGGTATGCACATGGTAGAAAGGAGAACCAACTCCCAAAAGTTGTCTTCTAACCATCACACACATGCAAGGCACATGCACCCCTAGTCCCCACACAACACATTTAAATGTAATGAAAACAAACAAAAAGCATGGGTATAAACATCACACACACGGTTAATCAGGAGGAACTCAAGAAAACCACTTACTATTGACTCCTCATGCTGCACTGGTCTTTCTGGTTCTTTGTAGCCCAAGGGAGCATCAAAATCCACCTGTGTTTTGAAAACAAAAGGTGAAATTCTGAGATGTGGCCACACTCAGTCTCCCTCACTAATCAGATAACAGTAGAGAGTTCTAGGAAACAGTCCTGACCGTGCATTCTGCCCAGCCTTTAGACAGGTCAGCACCACTACAGGAGCATCAGCATTGCAGACACCGCTGCTACCGGGAGCTGTGTGTACGTGATTATATAACTACAACTACCAGCATGGAGGTCCGTGTAGTCACTACCACAGGGAAGACACTAAATAGTACTACAACGGTCCACGCTACCAACAACCATTAATCTGTCTTCTATTTCTAAAGTCTGACACCTTAGGGTATCATATAAATGAAAGGAGACGGTGTTACCTTTTTTTCTTTCTGACAACCAGGAGGCTTGTCAATAATGTGTTTCCACTTAGCTCTTAATAATCAAACATTCACTCCTTGGCAGGTCTGAGGGGACTGTGGATCCAGCCACCTAAGTAGTTAACTGTCACTCCCATTCCCTAGGTGAATGGCCTCCTCCTAACACTCGTGATAGCATCTTCCTCCTCTCCCTCTTCTGCATACCTTCCTGGATCCCGACCTCTTTTTTTTGTTTTTTGTTTTTTTGTTTTGTTTTGTTTTTTTTTGAGTCAGGGTTTCTCTGTAGCTTTGGAGCCTGTCCTGAAACTAGCTCTTCTAGACCAGGCTGGCCTCGAACTCAGAGATCCGCCTGCTTCTGCCTCCCAAGTGCTGGGATTAAAGGTGTGTGCCACCACCACCAGGCCTGACCACCTTAAAAATCTGAAAAAGTCACTCACGTTCATGTCACATTCAATAATGGATACTGCCTTGTCAGGTTTGGTCTCCATGACCCGCAGCTCATAGATCTGCAGGAAGAACAGAAAGTTGAAGTTCTGAGGTACTAACAGGGACTAGCAACATCTCCGTTACTGTGGCTCACCGCCTGGCCTCTACACACAAGCTTCACATCACATCATCCCTTCCTTATTGTGCAAAAACTTCATCAATAATTTGAATATCATCATTAAAAGTCATTATCACCTATTATAAACAATACTGTGAAGCTGCTTATAGATTACAGAAGCTTATTTTAAAAGGTATTACCTAAAAAAATCTGACAAAGCGCAAGAACATTAAGTTTATACCCTCAAAATATTATGAAATGAGAAAGTAAGAATTCTCAATATAAGCTGACTTACATTGAGATACACTCAAGATACAAGGGAACCATCCCTACAGTTACACCATGTGAGGAACTGGCTGAGCAGGTTCCTGTGACACAGTTGTGGGGACCTAATTTGAGGGGACTAGAGTGTTTTGAAGGAATTCAGCACAGGTCTCAGGGAAGCCAGGCTATGCTTGGCTAGGGTCAACTATTGAACCCTGCAGGTGGGTCCCAGCACAGCTCCACAGCTGTCTGTTTGTACCCACAGTGTCATGCTCATCGCTACAGTTGGCCACGACAGCCTTGATGGCAAGACTTGTACTACACCTTCCATCAAAATACTCTGTGGATAGTGGGGAGGTAATGCCTTCGTGAGCTTTGTGGGAACTTCCCTGTCATTTCGTCTACTCAGTTGTCTTGACTAAGAGACCTATGAAGCAGAGAACCATGGATGAACATAAGTAGTATGCAGATTCAACAGACCTAAGTCAGGAAGCAGCTAGTGGAAGATCCATATAAGAAAATACACGCTCCCATGAGAAGAGAGCCCAAGAGGCACTATCCTCAAGCAGCTAAATTCTACTTCCAAAGTCATTAACTGCAATCTGTCCCCCAGCAGGCTCTGCTCCTCAAAGGGCTGCCTGCTTTCAACAAGGACACGGACACAGCTTGTCTTTGGTTACTCCCCTCATGGCAAAAGGCTTGACTTCGATAAAAAAAGAAAAGACCTTTAGTGGGGGGAGAGGGAAGTAACTTGCTTTGTAGTCTAGATCATTCTTGAACCCACCACCCTGCTGCCTCAGTCTCCTAGATGGTTAGATTACTAGCATGGCCACCATGCTCAGCCCGCAAAGGCTTTAAAAGACAGATTATTTTGTTTATGAATGTTTTGCCTGCATATATGTATATATTTGCACCAGATGCATGCCTGTTGCCCAAAGGCCAGAGAGGGTATCAGATCCCCCGGAACCAGGGGTATAGGCAGTTGCGAATCTCTAGTGGGTGCTGGGAATTGAACTGAGTACTCTGCAAAAGCAAGAAGTGCTCTTAATCACTGAGCCACCTCTCCAGCCCATTAACAGATGCTTTTAAAAGCAGAAGTATAATGAGTAAATATAAAAATATTAAGCTTATTAATATGTAATAAGTCCTTAACAGTTTCTGCATGGCCGTGACTTTTCTCACTGCTTTGACAAATAGCTGACAAGAACAAAGGAGATGGGTCTGTTTTGGCTCCCAGCTGAAGCAGCTCAAGGTCACACTGCTCTGCAGTCAGTAATGGATACTAGCACTCAGCCTGAAGTATTTTCACTCAGTCTAGGACCCAAGCCATGGGACGGAGTCACCTATAGAGTGGGTCTTCCCATCTCAACCTTATCTAAAATGCTTCCTTCATGGACATGCTCAAAGGTTTGATTCAACGGTGTTTCTAAATCCTATTAATAAATAGCAATCAAAATTAACTACCACAAGGAGATGGCCCAGTGATTTACTTTATATATAGATAAACACACAGACACACACACGTCTTTCTATCACACTGAGTGAAGAATTAGGACTCTAAATATGAACCCAGGAAATTAAAAAAAAAATCAAATATGCAGCAATTAGGCCATAAACCCCACTTTTAGAAAGAAGCCTCATTCAATACCAGAGTGGACAATGATGATGGACTCAAACATTCTCTTGTGGAAAGAGTGGGGAGTCTCGTGAAACCTTGGACCCACAACCCTACTCTGTCTCCTAGATGGTACGATTATGAGCACGCACCACCAGGCTTAGCCAGCAACGGCTTTTTAAAACAAATTAAAAAAAAAAAAAAGAAACAATTGTTTCTATTTTAAGTCTCTGAATGTTTTGCTTCATACATGTATGTGCACCACAGGCATTCCTGGAGCCCACCAAGACCAGAAGAAAGTTCCCAGACTCAAGAGGCCCCTCCCTGAGAGTAGCTGCCTGTAAACTGTACAAGGAACTCTGCTGGGGAACAATCTTTGTATATTGTAAAATTGTACTACTCTGACTGGCCGGCCTATCAGCTGGGCAGGAGAGCCAGACTAGAATTCTGGGAAGAAGGGCAGAGTCAGAAGAGTTGTCAGGAGACATAGAGGGAATAAGACATGCTGGAGGGGGCTGGAGAGATGGCTCAGTGGTTAAGGGCATTGCCTGCTGTTCCAAAGGTCCTGAGTTCAATTCCCGGCAACCACATGGTGGCTCACAACCATCTGTAATAAGGTCTGGTGCCCTCTTCTGGCCTACAGGCATACACACAGACTACTGCATACATAACAAATAAATATATATTAAAAAAAAAAAAAGAAAGAAAAAAATAAGACATGCTGGAGGATAGGTAAAGCCACAAGTCATGTGGCAATACATAGATTAATAGAAATAGGTTAAGTTGTAAGAGATAGTAACAAGCCTGAGCTAGCAGCCGAGCATTTATAACTAAGTATCCGTGTTGGTTTTTTGGGAACTTGGCAGGCAGAAAATAGAAGCCCACCTACGGAACTCCACTGATGCAGCCTCCATGCCACACCCCAGTTTACTCATGCTCCTGTAACTCACCCCAATAAACTCTTTGGATCACCAAAACAGGCTTAGATGGGATCATCTCTTTGGCCTGTCGTTTCCCTCTCTCTGGGGTAAAAAAGGCACAGTAACAGAACATTCTTTTAGGGGTAAAGTAGCAAGGCTCACATACCTTCTCATTGTAGTTGATAGCAATCACATCCCCAGTGGTCAGACAGGCAAAGTTTCTCAATGCATTTTCTAATCTGCATACATGCTGTCAAGGCAATGTGACAGAGCACATACCTTCAATTGGAAACAAGTGTCTGTGGGAAGTTGTGGCTGTTCATCTCAGATGGTGTGTGAATGTAATTTCTCAAAGCCTAACCCAAGTGGTCTATTTCCTCTAGCAGAACAGCATTTCCTAAATCTTCCCAAATGATACCAACTGAGGATTGATTTTTCTGACTTCAGTCCCGCATGCTGTTACACAAACCAGTTCATGATGAGAAAAAAAAAACTCTGAAAGTAAGTCTTTAAATCCCACAACACCTGTTACAAAAATGAAACCTTGCAAGAGAAAATCTTTCTTTTTTTCTTTTTCTTTCTTTCTTTTTTCGAGACAGGGTTTCTCTGTGGTTTTGGAGCCTGTCCTGGAACTAGCTCTTGTAGACCAGGCTGGTCTCGAACTCACAGAGATCCGCCTGCCTCTGCCTCCCAAGTGCTGGGATTAAAGGCGTGTGCCACCACCGCCCAGCGAGAAAATCTTTCTTGAGTGAAGAACTGTTTGAAGCTTTGTTTTAATTTTAATTATATGAGGGGCTGGAGAGATGGCTCAGTGGTTAAGAGCATTGCCTGCTCTTCCAAAGGTCCTGAGTTCAATTTCCGGCAACCACATGGTGGCTCACAACCATCTGTAATGAGGTCTGGTGCCCTCTTCTGGCCTGCAGACATACACACAGACAGAATATTGTATACATAACAAATAAATAAATAAATACTTAAAAAAAATAATTTTAATTATGTGATGTCATAGGTGTTTGTGTGGGTACGTAAATGTGTATGCTCGCTCCTAAGAGGTTAGACCGTTAGATTCTTACAGAAGGAATCACAAAAAATTGTCAAAAACCAGACCTTAGCTCTAGAAATAAACTTTTCTTAACTGCTCGGCCATGTCTCTAGCCCTGCAAATATTTTAAAGCCTATTTGTATCATTTTGAAGTTAGTAAATAGGGCAGAACTCATACAAGAGAAAAACCCTACTCATAAAAACAATTTGGTAAAGACTTTAAACGTCATAGCTGTTTTCAGGTTGTTTCACTTCTTTTCATCATGCTTTGAAGAAAGTAAATTGCCGTGTCCATTCAAGAGTGATAGCAGAGATCACTGCACGGAGGTTTCTATTTCGAACCATCTGAGGCAGATACTAAAGTGTGCTATACGTGCGACCAATCTATTTAGCGAAGTTTAATTTGTGGCCCAATTCCTTCTGTGGTGTTGTCCATCCTCTTTTTTTTTTAACTTAGTGATAGGTATTTTTCTGCTGTAGTGTACAGAATGGGATGCTCATATCTAAGTGGTCCAGCGTTTTTTTTTTTTTTTTTTTTTTTTTTTTTTTTCCATTTCAAGTAAGGATGTCTTAAAAGGATGGTGGGCTGTTGTTCCTAATTTTGGTTTTTGTATTTTCACAAATTCCCTTCAGATTTTGTTGTATGTTATTCGGTCTGGCTTGGAGTCAGTAATTATTCAGTAATTATTCAGGCATACATTGAACTCATAATCCTCATGTCTGCCTCTCGAGTACAATTCCACAGGTAGATGATGCACTCCAAATGTGTGATGGTTTGTCCACATGATTTAATAACGTTTATGTCAAAATGCTTAACAGAAGAGAATATAAGAAACATTAAATACCCATTCAAAGCATTTTTTTTGATTTATCTGGTAGAGACATAAGGTAGGATACTCAAAAAAAAAAAAAAAAGAAAAAGAAAAAAGAAAAGAAAGAGAAGAGCCCCTAAAAGTAATCTTGTAAGTCTGCACTATAAAACGGGAAAATTCAAAATCCTAAAAGGTTATAGTGAAGACTCCTCCTGCATTGACAGCAAAACATTTGTAGGTCATTCTGAAGGACAGATTAAGCAGCTCTTCCCACAGATGTCCCCTGCCTGCAGTACATTTCTACCACTGTCTACACTGTGGATTAACAACATTTCTTTGGGGCATGTCTGTGTGGATATGTGTGCATGTGCATGCAGCAACTCAAGGAGGCCAGAAAAGGAAGGGCATTAGGTCCCTTGGGTTAGAGGTGATTGTGAACCATTTCATAAGCTACTCTGCCGATCTACTGGATATACTGTGTGCCTTGGTCTTTGTCTAGGTAGCCACAAAACTAAAAGGTGCCTGTAAAGTGACTGAAAAAGGCCAGAGAGCACTTGCCGTGTTTGGTCAGGATCAAGAGGATGAGCTAGTCAAGTGCTGTTACCATCAATCACAATTTCAATCAGAAACACGTCTGGTTCCCATGTTGTTTGGTGATAGCCAGGAACCCTTCCTTTACAGGGAAATTCTTATGTCAAAAGGATACACTGCTTTAGGGTTGGTAATATCCAGGAAGTCCGGGCTCTGAGGCTGGAACTTAGAGTAGGTAGCCACCTGAAGGTTGACACTCTCCACCTGAACCAGGCCCCCTTCTTCCAACAGCAAATTCTGCATCATCTAAAAAGAAAAAATCTGCATGAAACTCAACAATTAAGAAGTCTCTATAGCTATCATCTGCCAGGTTGAAGACTTGGAACAAGCAAATTAATTGTAATATGATGCCATGCAAGAAAAATCAAGTGAGGGACACACATGGAAAGCAGACCAAGAAAGGGATTCAACTGAGGCTGCATCACTGTGATCTGTCTCTGCAATGGCAACCTAGACAGGTCATCAGTTTCCAGACCCCTGTACACAATATTCCCTGGGATGCTTACCTCCCAGCTCTAAAGCTATCCCATAAGCAGCATTCAGGGCCCCAAGTAATAAGGACCACACTTATGATAGAATGACCACACGATGAAAGGTCACGTAAGGCCCCAGAGATGTTGCTACAGAGGGTCATAGAAACACTAATAGACATGCATTGATGAACTACCCAGTAAGGCAGATAATGACTGAGGATGGGGACAGACAGACGTGAACAAAGGACAGGGGAATCTGGCATGTAGGAAACTTGGGCACAGTAGTAACACTAAGTCTTTAGTCAGAGGCAGGGAGACATGGTCAGGGAAGCGGGATCGGTTGCAGGTCCCAGAATAGATTTTTGCTAATTTTAAATTGTTTTTGGATAGAAGTTGGATACATAGATGCATGAGTCGAAAGGACTGCAAAGTGAATTTCTGTTGGCCTTCCCTAACACCTCAACAGTAATTAAGACATGGCTACCTCCTTTTATTTTTAGGGGTTCCAATGTTGGCTCCTCCCATGAAAGGCTAACTGAAGCAAGTCTTTAGGTATGCAAATCTCTTAGAAAATATTCCAAAATAAGAAACAGGGACAGAGGGCCATGGTGCAAGTAAGGAGGCACTAGTCTGTGCTGAGTAGCAGCCCCAGGATTGAAGAACGGGGGGGGGGGGGGGGGGGGGGGGGGG